TTGCCCACAACTACCTCTTCAGTGCCAGCTCATATTATAACTTCAATCGGCTATCCTGTCACCACCATAAGCTAGCAAAAGGAGGGAAGGGGGAAGGAAGGAACAAAGGCGACGGCACTATAACAACGCGACGGAGAAAGGAGGGAAACTGATCGGCGACTAAGGGACAGAAACTCCACAGTATCATTTTCGTCGAAAGGCTGCAAGGGGCTGCGACCTTTGTGGTCTCTAAGTTTTCCGTTATCTCGTCTTCCCCTCCCCCGGCCCCCCCTTTCTCTTCTTTTCTACTCTTTTTCCATCTTCTGGCAGGGTCATTTTCGCCGAAAGGCTGCAAGGGGCTGCGACTTTTGTGGTCTCTAAGTTTTCCGTTATCTCGTCTTCCCCTCCCCCGCGCCCCCCTTTCTCTTCTTTTCTTCTTCGACTCTTTTTCCGTCGTCTGGCAGGGTTGAGCGGCTGAACCTTGGCATTTAGCTTCAAGAGGCCTTGCAGAACAGCAGCTCGGAGTTTGCCACAGCAATTAAGTTTTTCGAGTGGTCCATTGATGTCAATGCCCTTTTGCAATTTTCCCATTCAACGTGTATACACGTGCAAAACGTAGAGGCTATGGCTTATTGCATTTTTTCTAAAAGGGAAAATTGCCTCTGTACCACACTTAATGATGAGAATACCGGCTATACCCAATCCCAGCGCCAACTTGCTTCTATACTCAGACAACGGCTGGTGGAAATTGTTTGCATGCCCAGGACCAAGGTGGACCTAGGTTGGTACCTCAAATTTGCAGTTATAACCAACTACCAGAATGAACAAATTATGGACATGCCCAGGCAAAATTATGGGCATACCCGGGACATGCGGAGGCGTGGCCAGATTGTTCATATACCCTGCTACCAAATGGCTGAAATTATGCTCATAACCAGCAGCCGTTGGGCCACAACCGTCTACGTGGTGGGCATGAGCATAATTTGGTTCTCAGAATCCAGGGCCTGCAGGATTGGATACGCCTACAATTTCCCACAGGGGAAAAGGTGCATACTATGCAAAGTTGAACAGCCTCTGGGTATAGGTGCAAGGTGGTGCTGGGACTGGGTATACCCGGTATTCCCATCTTTAAACCACCACTCTACCTGACATTGTGAAAGTCGGAGGACCGGTAGCAGATGTTCATGAGGGCTACCGGTAGTGTGGAGAAACGGCAGAGCCCCAAAAATGAAACATCCACCAAATTGCCGCCACCACTTATTTCGTAGTTAAAACGATTTTTTTTTATTTTTTAAATATTTTCCCCGGACAGATCACAACCAAATCTACGGACCCTCCAATTTTCAGATTTGTTTATGAATTATTCTGAGCATGAAAAATCGCTGAAATTGGGGTAAGTTTCCCATTGGCCCACAAGTAGTGGAGTGGCAAAAATCAAGAATGAAACAAATAGACGCGGCATTTATTTCACCGACTTTTTTTTTCTTTTTTTTTTCGTGGAAAGATCACAACCAAACTTACAGACTCTTCCATTTTCAGAGTTTTCAAGGCATACTTCTGACCACAAAAAATCACAGAAATTAGGGTACTTTTTCCTTTGGCCCACACGCTAGTGGCAAAAATGAGAAATGTGACGAATTTGCACGGCATTTATTTCATGGTCTAAAAGATTTTGTTTTTATTTTTCTGATATTTTTCCCATAAAGATCACGACCTAATCTACAGGGGCGAGGTCCCATTAGCAGTGGGATAGGAGTTTGGCCGATCCAGTGTGACACTGAGTGGCAGCAGGCTGACAGGTTCATCACGAATTTCTGGGCTGAGAAAACAGGAGAGGCAAAAGAAAAAAAAGAACCACCGATCACGGCAGAGTGATTCCCAGCCATCAAATCACAAATGATCTGATGGTGGTGGTTGCAGCAACAGTGAATAAAGCAACCGCCACATTTTCTGGAATAAACTCGACTTCTGTCAGCAGTGATCCTGACACCCTCCATATACTTCGTGATTGAAGGAGGGCTCCACCCAATGAGATAATTGCACAACAGTAAGTAAAATACTGAAAATCTTCTATCCAGTAGGCCTATGGCCGACCCCACCCTCTTTCGGGGTTGGCCACACCCCCAACAGATAAAAAAAGATTTGCACGGGCATGCCCAGTGTTCAGGAGAGGAGGAGGGGAAAAACGATCTCCTTATAAAGAGAACTCCTTACTTTTTCGGGAATGTAAAATACTGACCGTGGGATCACGAGTACTGCACGGCAGGATTTGGATCACTCAACTGCCCCACAAACTCGTTTCTATCCTATCCCGTTGCTAGTGGGACCTCGCCCCAGGCTCTCAAATTTTCAGATTTTTCCCCTTATTTTTCTAAMCGCGAAAAATCGCCAAAGTTGGCGAGGACTGGACCCGCCTGCGCCTCCCAGTCTGCGGCCCCCCTAAAGACCCGCTCCAACGGAATGCCAGTTTTTCGGTGGCGGGTAGAGTGGTGGTTTAAGTGGGGTACAAATGCAATTTTCCCTTTAAAAAGAGTGGTGGTTTAAGTGGGGTACAGATGCAATTTTCCCTTTTGTTAAAAAAAAGGGACGACGGCCTTGAGCTATCGTCATCAAACTGACCGGCCGCAGGTGATATTCAGAGCTATTTCATCCATCAGGTATCATCATCACACTGACCGGACTGAATAATTATGGATTATAATCTGGCGTGTGGTTTGGACTCTTACAATCAGTCATACAACAAGCCACGAATTTAGTCATACAACAGGTCAAAGTGCGTAGATGGGTAATTACGATGAAGTGACCAATCGACATAATTATTGATTACTTGATCTAATTAATTGGTTGATTGATTGATTGATTGATTGAATTCTGACACAGCTTGATTGATGGATTGATTAACTGATTGACTGACTGATTGCTTGATGGATGGATGGATGGATTGAATTCTGACACAGATATGAAATCATGACTTCTCGTAACTTGGAATGATTTGTCATCCAGCGAAGATAAATTTCTTGATTGCAGTCATGCTTTTCAGCCCGGTAGAGACTCCGCAGCTCCGAACCTTCCGAGCCTCCACGCAGGAGTCAGAAAACACCAACAGGTGGAAGGCATTCGACAATGACAATTCCCATATGGCAGCCCTGATAGCCGTATCACTCAAACAGCAAATGGAAACCAAACAAATGAAATTAATAAACACACGAAAGTGGAGTCGCCATATAACAGTATCGATGGTGGACGGACGAGATAGATGCCAGCTTGATGCGACAGGGAACAGGGAACTTCACACAGACATGGAACAGGGAACTTCACACAGAATCAAAGGGGTCGTCAAAGGGCACCACAGTGAAACCCATACTTCTCTCTCTCTCTCTCTCTCTCTCTCTCTCTCTCTCTCTCTCTCTCTCTCTCTCTCTCTCTCTCTGTGTGTGTGTGTGTGTGTGTGTGTGTGTGTGTGTGTGTGTGTGTGTGTTACACACATATGGAAACGAATGCAAAGGAACCGAGAAAAAACACTCGATGCACGAACCAAAACGATAGAAAAAGAAACACATCAGGCCAAGCTCAGAAAAAACGAGAGGGAGCCCATCAAATCAAACGATCCCAAACAAAGAAGCACTAAATGGATCCCTCACACATCCCAAACAAAAAAGCACTAAACCAATCGACCGATCAATCGATCCCTAAATCTCGACATATCATCAACAAATCACCGATCATATCGAACGAAAACTAACAATAACAATATTTAGAAGGAAGAAACCGTCAAATCGCAAACAGACGAGACAATCAACCAATCAATCAATCGATAGATCGCTCAACCGATCGAACGAACTGGCGATCAAACCGACCGACCGAGCGATGAATCCGTGGTAAGCATGGCCACAGAAAGGACGGCCTCGTAAAAAGGAGCGACGAGCGCACAATCGAGAGGACCAGGAGCAGCCGATGAATATTCCGGCAAGTCCTTTTCCTTTATTTTTCTTTTTTTTTGTGGTCCGATGGACAACGGATCAGATATTAAACTAACCAGAACAGATACTACAGTTGATCTTAGCCAAGAGCCCGAGAAAGGTATACTCCGGCAAGTCTCGACGGCTGTCTCGCGTGCTTTTTCCGGAAAAAACACGAAGACATGGATTCGCTTTCTTGTCAGCAGGATGCAGGTTTGCAAAATCGTACATGGACTCTACTCGAATTCCGTCCAGGTGCACATGGTCCAATCCACGTCCCCCCCAAAAAAAAGAACATGGATTTCACTCTGCTCTCAACTTAGCGGCAGGATCTAGGTTGACGATAGACCTAAATTAAATTTCATTCCCAACAGGAAGAAGGGATGGAAGCAGCGACACTGGATCTAGCTTCACCATAGACCTAAATTTCGTTCCCCGCTGCGCTCTGATGTTTCCCTTGTTCATCTCTTCGTCATGTTCGATGGCTGACCACCGGGCGAGACCATATTCAGAGGGAAGGAAGCAGAGGCACTGGATCTCGAGACAAAGGCGGCCGAACGGGGAAAAAAGGGAAGGAAACGAGGTAAGGGGGGCGGGGGAGAAGGAACAAAAGAAGAACGGGGACGGGTTATCCGTGGTGGGAGATGAAGTGGGCGCAGGAGCGCGGAGAGGGAGGAAGTGAATAAGAGCGGGGACGGGGTACGTGGTGTTAGGAAAACGTGAAAGTACAATACGGGCTTTCTCGCCTACACTTGCACCCCTTACATGGATCCCATCGCCATGACGACCAAACTGCCTCTTCCTAGTGAATATGTTCGCGCTCAGACATATCTTTCTATTCCGAAAAATTCCTACCTCTCTTTCAGCTTTCCCTCTACCATTATAGCATAGGCTTACCCCGGTTCTTCGTTACGCGTCCAGATGGTGAAGATCAAGGCCGGGTCGTGAATGAACAAGTACGTTTCAGCTTTCCCTCTACCATTATAACATAGGCTTACCCCGGGCCAGAGAAACAAAGAAAACGGGTGAACTGTCGGAGAGAGCTGAGTGCAGTGTGCAAACCAAGTACTCTTCTTTGAGCCTTCTCTTCCATAGCTCGCCGTCTCTAGGCCCTGCACGAGTCGTAAGGAGAGGAATCTTCTGAACTGTAGCTTTGGTGGTGGTGTCCCAACCCTCCATAGCTCCCTCTAGATTCTCTCTACTTGGCTTCGGTCGGCTTCCTCTCTCTCGATGTGGCTTCCTCGAGTCCGCTATGTTCCTTTCTGTGCGTGCTAACCGGAGCAAAGACTTTGTAATCCAGGCCGTAAATGGCACGGCCGGGTTTGACTCCGGCGCGCCTTCCCAAACCAACGCACTCTGCGTGGGCCACATATCCTTTCTTTTTTTTTTTTCTTTTTTTTTTTTGGGGCCACATATCCTGAAATTTCTGCCCGCTTCCTTGGCGATGTTCTCGTTGCCGATTCCACGACACTGGGCCTCGATCCACTACTACTCATTCGGACTAACCAAACTGACTGTTAGACCACGCCAAGTGTGGTGGGGCGAGGGGCTTTCCTTTGTTGATGGAGAGGCTCAGCCTAAGAGGTGGACCCCACCGGACGGCGGCTTGGAAAAAAAAAAGCGCCCTATCATTTTGGAGACCGCACCGGTGATGGAAAGAGGTGTGGAAAGCCTCTTTGGAAAGGTTTTCCAGACCCGACCGGTGATGGAAAAGGGTTGCCGAAATGCTGACGGGGCGTTTCTACATGGTCAGCGGTCTGGAAAATCGCTGCCCTATCGCAGCATTCCTTTTCCAAACATGGCCCCCAGCAGAGTAAGGGTGGGCATGTTCTCCGATGGCATCGGAGGGCCAGACGGCATGGTCCACGCGGCGGTGGAGGAGACCATTTTTTGGACCTGCGCTGCCGCTGCGGACAACCGGTTTGTTGTCGCACGGTTCGCACATGGGCCTCTGGGCACAGGCGGGTTCCGCGTCCCCGTATTTTTCAAACGGCCCTGCAGCGGTGCACAAAATTTCAAATTCAAAATTTTTCGCGGGGAGAGGACGACAGCTGTGTGCCTGTCCTTTTTTGTTGGTGTCGGTGGAGGTAGTTCAGAAGGGGGGGTGGTGTGTGTGTGTGTGTGTGTGTGTGAGAGAGAGAGAGAGAGAGAGAGAGAGAGAGAGAGAGAGAGAGAGAGAGAGAGAGAGAGAGAGAGAAACTTTTTTTATTGGTAGGTGCAGAAGGATGGATTCCAGTCGATGGAGGACAGATCTCCCAGCGGGCAACGATGGGGGATTCCAAACGCAAGACGTTCCCGTTCACGGATCTGTGTCGTGCTCTTCGCCATCAACGTCGGTGGTTCAATCCTTCACCGGCCAGTTGTTTGACGGGGGTCGAGGCTTGTCGATCCATCTACCACGGGCCCCTGTCCTTGCTTCCGCACATCAGCATGCGGCAGGGACACGTGGACGGTTCCCTGGATGGCCGTCTATGCAAAGTATGCCTGCAGGAGCCATGTATATGGGCCATGGTCCCCTCCCGGGTCCGATTGGTGTCGGATACGGCACACCTGCTCCGCATTCCTTTGAGGCCGGCTGCGGATTCGACATTCCGACACAGGACCTGTCGTCCCAGCACAATGTTGGCAGTGGCAGTGTGATGAGGAGTGATCGATCGTGGTCCTCGCAGTGCGGGCAGACGTCGCAGCAAGTGAACGGTGCAATGTGCAGCCCGAGTCGACCATCGGCCAGACGTACGCCTTGTCATTAGTCGACTTCCGTGCGCGATGCGCATTGGCAAGAGACCAACCAGGGATGGCCTGCAGGAAACCATTTATCGGGGACATCATATTTTGATGACGATGCGGATGAAGGTGAAGCGTGCGAAGGTGATGACGACGGTGATGATGAGGGAGATGGAGTGAACATTCCTGTGCAGACTTCAGACAATGCTCATGGAGACGCAGACAGTGCACAACATTCCAACCAAGGGGAGACCTTGGATGGACGGGAGGGTGGCCGTCCTCATGACAAGCGCAAGGGCAAAGACAATGTTGCGACAAACAAAAAACAAAACGTCCCTTGGACGTTGGAGGAGAGGATCACACTGGCGAAGTTGATGGGGGAGGACGATGCCCTCATGGCTGACGAGGAGGGTCAACATCAATTCATGAAGATGAAGGAGCGGTACGCATGGGTGCACGGCCGAATGAAAGACAACGGATTCCGGCACAGGACAATGGAAGATTGTCGGAAGAAATGGATGAACATGTTGAGCAAGGCGAAGCTAATCCTGGACAGGTGCGAGAATGCGTCTGGCATGCCTTCGTACTTCGACTTGCCCATGGAGAAGCGAAAGGAGTTGGAGGTGCCTCTAGCCTTTGAGAGACCGCTTTGGGAGGCGATGCAGTGGAAGTTGAATAGACCGTCCATGACCTGTGACAAGACATTGGCGTCCGAGGATCTGACCGGCGGAGGTGGGGAGACAACTCAAAATGACGGTCCCGGAAATCGTGGTTCGGGGAGAAGCGGTTCCGATGGCAGAACGACGAACGATTCTGAGGGTCCATCGAAGAGACGAAGATCGAACAGCGGCAAGGCAAGAGTGGAGGACATGAGTTGCGGGGGGGTCGTCATTGGGGAGGGTGATGGAGGATTCTACAAGGGCGTATTGCGACGGTCTTGACAAGGCCGCCTCCACTCTCACGAAGGCGACATCGAAAGTCGGCACAGCGATCGAGGCGAAAATAGGTGATGTTGCAGACACCATGAGGGGGGGGAACACTGTACTTGAGATGCTTGTCGGGGTTCTCGCCAGACAGGGGGTTGGGGGAAGGTACGGTGGTGACGGGGGAGGGGATGCAGACCCGTCCTCGCATTGATGTATATATACATATATATATATATATATATATATATATATATATATCCGGAAGGTCGCGGGAAAGCATCGAACAGAGCGCAACGCCGGGGAACTACTCCGGTCCAATGCCTACATAAGCTCGGGCAGGGACTGCTGTGTATGAGGAGCAAACCGTGTCATGTCGGAGGGCACAGTTCCTGCGTGGAATCCGTCGATTGTGGGACGCTGTGTTTTTGCTTCTGTGGGCACTGGTGTGGCGCGCACATACACACACACACATCGAGAGAGAGAGAGAGAGAGAGAGAGAGAGAGAGAGAGAGAGAGAGAGAGAGAGAGAGAGAGAGAGAGAGAGAGAG